CTACTGAAGCATCCTTAGTCCCTCAGGGCCCCAGTTGTGGTGCCTTACACCATGGTTGACTCCTTTCTTCCTTTACTTTGGTCCAAACACAAGGCCCTGCAAAGGGGCAGGTTCCAATGTGAGAAGCTCCTGTTACTGGTGGGGCCTCCTCTGGGGTTCTCATGGCTCCTCTTCCTATGTGTAGGATGGTCCCTGCACACACCTGTATGGAACACATGTGCACCCACACAGCACATGTGTACACATGCATGTGCATGTACACAGAGTTGCAGTAGATTGGTAGGTAAAACAGAGGCTGAGGGAGGGCATTAGATGAGGAACCTGCCCTTAATCCTCGCTCTGTCCCTGCATCTATCCCTCCGCCATCTTTGTTTCCTCTTTTGTAACATGATGAGACTAGAGCAGGTGTCTCCTAGGTGTCTTTTCTCTGTGATCTAGATCTAGATCTAGACATGTTACATGTGGGATAGGTGTTGGGTTTGACAGAGACTGGGTTTATAGTGTTCAGTTACACTGGCTTTGAGCGCAGATAGACTGTGAGTTCTGGCTCTGCTGCTATCAGGCTGTGTGACCTCAGACAAGACACTTCATCTCTCTCACGCATTCCTCAACTGTAGGGTGGAATTAATGAAACCTCATTGTGTCAGGCTTTGGTGAGGTGATTTATGCAATGATGTCATGACCTATAAATGACACATGTTATTATTGGTCTCAGCTCTGCCCTTAATTCACTGAGTTATCTTGGGTAAACCAAATGAGCTTTCCTAGATCTGTTGGAGAAGGTCATTGAAAAGACGTGACCACTGGTTGACCTGTGAGGTGGGTCCCAGTGATCATAGGCTCCTCGCCCCCTCCCCTGTGCTTGGAGTGTGGGTTCCCCTTGCCTTTCCTACTCCCAGGGGCTGCTCCAAGGCCACAGCCTTGAGATAGCGACGTGGTGTTGACAACACATGCACGGTATACGTGACTGAACCCAGTTAGGGCCTCTTTTTTTTTTTTTTTTAAGATTTTATTTATTTATTTGACAGACAGAGATTACAAGTGAGCAGAGAGGCAGGCAGAGAGAGAGAGGAGGAAGCAGGCTCCCTGCCGAGCAGAGAGCCCGATGCGGAGCTTGATCCCAGGACCCTCGGATCATGACCTGAGCCGAAGGCAGAGGCTTTAACCCACTGAGCCACCCAAACT